GACACCTCCCAAGTACAGAGCCCCGAGTATTTGTGTCGTGACTGAACCGAACCCACGCGTCTCCCACCTGGGGAGACTGCCTCTTTTGTAAATTAGCGGTTTGGCCCCCTTCCCGTTCAGATGTGCTTATTTATCTTTGTACCAGTGGCCATATTCCACACCTTTCCAAGACGTGTTTGGAATTGGATTCACACCTAGTGGGCTCCAAACCACACGCGCCAATATCACCTCTATTCCTAATAAATCTTTATATTTGCAGAACTTTATGTAGTAAACGAAGTGCTTTCACATATACGGAATCTACGTTTAATTTCACATAAAACAACGACCCAATCAGGCTATTGGTTATTCTATTTGGGGAAGAAATATATGCTAAGGGTGGAGAGTCACCCCTAGGCCAGGAGCTGAGCCTCCCCAGGCCTCCTGTTAGTGCTGTGCATTTCGAGGAGCATTCTCCCCAGGTTCTAAAAACCTCAACTAATCTTTATCATTCAAATCTTATTTTAAGATAAAACTTTTTCCCCCCAATTCTGGGCATTGGACCCGTGGGCCTCCAACATGCTAAGCAAGCACTCTTACTACTGTCCCTTTTTAAATTTTTTACTATTTTTTATTTTTCATTAAAAAAATGTGTTTTTTTTTTGCAGTTGTATATGAACAGCATACCTTTATTTTATATCTTTTTAATGTGGTGCTAAGGATCGAACCCAGTGCCTCACACATGCTAGGCAAGTACTCTGCCACTTAGCTACAGCCCCAGCCCTGAAATTTTTATTTTGAGGCAGATCTTGCCAGTTTGTTAGACCGGTCTTAAAGTTGCAATCCTCCAGACTCGGCCTCCCAAGTGGGTTACAGGTTTGTGCCACCCCAGATTGATAGAACAGTTTCTAGTTGCAATCCTCCAGACTCAGCCTCCCAAGTGGGTTACAGGTTTGTGCCACCCCAGATAGATAGAACAGTTTCTAGCAGGTTTAATGCTTTCAGTGACATAATTGTACGTTAATGTTTAAAGGGTTTGATATAAATTTTTTGAACTCTGGAAGGAAGTTTTTGTTACTTCTCTGCTCAAAACTGAGTATTTGCTCCCCATCTTATGCATACTAAGCCAAAGACCCATTAATAGTTTCCAAGGCCCTACAGGAACTGGTTGTACCATGTCCTACCCTCTGATAATTTGCCCTCACCTTCTGGCTCCATCTCTCATTGCTCTCCCCATCCCTCCTTTGATGTTCAACACCTACTGCCTGTTCACCTCAGGGCCTTTGCATTTGCTATTCCATTTGCTTGAAATACTTTTCACTCAGACACCCACATGAGACTCTGTTACCTGCTTTGAACAAATATCTCAATGAGGCTTTCCCAGTTATGGTTTTGATTCTTTTAAATGTTTTTATACTTAATTCTAGATCTTTCCTGTCTTAGTCCATTTGTGCAGCTACAATAAAATACCTGAATACAATAAAATGCTAGGTAATTTATAAGGAAGAGAAATTTATTACTTAACAGCTGTGGATGCCCAGAAGTTCAAGATCAAGGCCCTTGGCAGTGCTATATTTGTGTCAGGTGAAGAATGCTCTCTACTTCCAAAAATGGTACCTTGTTGTTCCATTCTCCGAGAGGATGAATACTGTGTCCTTACATAGCAGAAGGGAGGGAAGGGATGAAAAGGGACAAATTAACTCCTGAGTCCTTGAGTCCTTTCATTAGGGTATTCTGCCTCTCCATGAGGGCAACCCCCAGGACTTAACAACCTTCTAAAGGCTCCTCAGTACCTTTGTACTGAGGAGTAAATTGTAATGTGAATTTTGTAAACTATAGCTATTAAGTGTTTTAGTACTTAATTCTAAATTTTTCCAGTTACGAAAGATGTTCATCCACCAGAGAATACAATGACCGCTCCAATTAGCTAAAGTTTTGATCCAGGAATTTTTGCTAAAGAGGCTAATGAGATTCATTTCAGTAACTCTGATGGGACACAGTAAGTTCTAAATTAATGCTGTCTATCCAAAATCAGGTGGTCTTCTAGACTTAATTCTTCAGTTTACTCAGAGAAGAACATGTCTTTGCTCTCCATTCCAAAGACCTTCAAACTTAATGGTTCCTAAAATATGTAATTGTTTTTGCCAACCACCTTTTTAAAGGTTATTGAACTTAATGGGAATCTTAAATTATGTAATATTCTTAAATCTATAATAGATATTTAACTCTTAGAGATCTTTAAAGTATTTCCCTTGGACTTTCGGGATGTCTTACATGAATTAATCTAACTTGCTGTTTCAACTTATAAAATCAACTGAAACAAAATCTGAAATGTATTACCCATTTCTGTGACTGTCAAGTATTGTGAAAATAAGCCTCTCTCTCTTTCTTTTTTTAATAACATGATTCCTTTATTTATTTATTTATTTATTTTAATATTTATTTTTCAGTTTTTGGTGGACCCAACATCTTTATCTTATTTTTTATGTGGTGCTGAGGATTGAACCCAGTGCCCCGCACACACCAGGCGAGCATTTTACCGCTTGAGCCACATCCCCAGCCCCCATGATTCCTTTATTTTATTTATTTTTATGTGGCACTAAGGATTGAACCCAGGGCCTTACACATGCTAGCAAGTGGTCTACCACTGAGCCGCAACCCCAGCCTTGAAAATCAGCTTTTCTTGATGCATCTAAGTTATGTTAAAGTCCTGTAGATCTGAATGTTGTAACTGACCCCGATGTAGAGGACACTTCATTTTTTAAATTTTTTTAATTTCCTACTTTTTGCACCTTCCTGCCTTCACTGCCATTGTCTTAGTAAATTCCTCACCATTGCTTGTTTCAACAATTGCATTAGGCTTTAAGTTGGTATTTCTTTATTTTTTTAATTGATTAAAAAAATGACAGCGGAAACACACACACACACACACACACACACACACACACACATATGTTGGTATTTCTTGTCCTTGCCTCTCCCCCTGGTTCCATCCTCCCATATTTCTCAGATCCTTTTGGGTGTGCAAGGTGGATTATCATTTCAGTAATACCTATGATTCATTAAGCCCTAACTACATGGCAGGCAGTGTTCGGGGTGTTTGCACGTGTTATGGTGGGCAGAGGAAATCGAGACTTAGGCTTGTTGACTTTGGGGCAGTCTCCCTATTTTCTAGTCTACTCACTTACTCATTGTGTAGTTTAGAAGATGTCATTTTAATCTTCTCTGCCTTAATTTCTTTACCTGTACAGGGGGAATCGCAGCAGTGTTTACCTCATGAGGCCATTGTGAGGACTGAAGTAAGATAATGAGTGTCAAGAGCTTAGCTATTTATTTTGAGATCTAACTCACATACTATACAACTCAGCCTTTAAAAGTGAACAGTTTAGAGTATTCTGGTACCCCAGGGTTCAATCCCCAGTACAATAAATAAATAAGTGGTGGAAACCACTTATGTACGTGTGTGTGGTACTGGGGATTGAATTTAGGGGTGCTCTACCACTGAGTTACATCCCCATCCCTTTTTATTTTTTATTTTAAGGCATTATCTCACTAAGTAGTTGAGGCTGGCATTGAACTTTCTGCCTCAGTCTCCTAATTAACTGAGAGTACAGGCGTGCACCAGTGCACTAGCCAATAAATACTTGTTTTTTTTAGGGGGGGGTACTAGGAGGTTGAACCCAGGGGTACTTTACCATTGATCTACACCCCTTACTCTTTTTATTTATTTATTTTTAAAATTTGAGACAGAGTCTTATTAATTTGCTTAAGGACTCACTAAATTGCTGAGACTGGACTCAAATTATAGTCCTCCTGTCTCAATCTCCAGAGTCACTGGGACTACAGGTGTGCATCACCACGCTGAGCGATAAATACAAATTGAATGAATGTATCTCACCTTTCAGTTTGGATATCTGTCCTCATCATAAAAATAGAATAAACAGTTTTTTTCCTTTAAAAAAATATAGGAAAAGAAATTGGGTATAACTGTATGGAGTTTGGAACAGTGTAAATTAATTATTGAATCAAAAGATGAAATAGGTTTTTTGTAATTGTTTTTCTCGCTCTCCAGAAAATCCCTGCTGCTTTGAGTTCTGTGGCTCTCAGTTGCATATGTGAAGTATGGAGGGTTTGGCAGAGGCTTTGTGTCACCTTCAGATCCCCCTGCTTGCTGGCACTGTTGGATAAGGTACAACATGAAATCCTTATAATTTCGGAATAGTTGGGGAAAGTTTTATTCCAGAATCTGCAGTTTTCCTTTCATCAACAGAACACACTTTGGCAAACCAATCCAGGCCTTGAACTTTCCATCCTCCTGCCTCAACTTCCTGACTAGCGGGATTACAGGTGCAGGCTATTGTGCTCAGCTGTGCTCACCTCTGTATAAATTAGCATTCTGAAAGCTAAAAGGAATTTGTGGTGATTAAATGCTAAAATGCTTGCCTTTTCTACCAAGTAAAAGCAGTGTTTTAAAGTGGCTTGCTTATTTAATAATAATAATGCTGATGATAATAGCCAACATTTGTTTAGGGCTTATTATAAACAGGGCACTGTTGTAAGCACTATATTTAGATTATCTTCTTATTTACTCTGTCTCACAGATCTCTGAGTTGTCCCCATTTTACAGATGAAGAAACTAAGGCACAGGAAAGCTAACTTCCAGGTCACCCCTTTAGTGTTTAGAGAGCCAGAATCTGCACACAGGCAGTCTCATTCCAAGTGTACCTCAGAGTATGCTACCTGACAGGCAGCTCACAGACACCGCTCACCCCCCTGCTTAAATTTTGAGGTAGATGATATACCAATGTAATGCTAGATCTAGCTGCAGAAAACAGAAACCACTCTAGTATCTTAAGTAGAAGAAGACTTGATAAAGAGAATTAGATGCTTATAACTTCATCAGAAGACCTGGTGTGGAGGGGGCTCCAGGTTAAGCCTTCAGAAATGATCCCAGAACAAGACTGCCTAATGGGCCCACCAGGGAGGGAATCAGGATGCTGTCAGTGACATTGCTAACAGTTGAGGATCAGCTACTACTGCTCAGCTGCCCCTCAACACCCACCAAATAGTGATTGCCATCTTCGTCACAGTTGTCTCCTCACAACCAAGGAATTCTTAACAAGGAAATTTCCATAAATGTGCTTGCTGGCATTGACAGCCCCAACTGTGGAAAGATGGTTCCTGCCTAGTTTTTTTTGTCTTCTAAATTGCAACAGAATAACTCTTCTTGATGGGCCCCATTTCACATGGGAAAACTTAATTGCAAAGGAGTCTGGGAAGTGTACTTTTTAGCTTTCCATAGGAAATTAGAAAGGATGTAGTGTGAATTCACAAAGGTACTCTGATGTCCTCCAGGGCAGAACTTGGTGATTATTCCTAAAAATGAAATTTCACCAGCATGTAAAAGCTGTCAAGGGCACAGACAATGTTCAACAACCAGTTCTGCACCCCACCATCCCGTGCTGGGGATTGAGCCCAGGGCCTAGCATGCATAATCCCAACCAGTTCTCTTAAAAAGGTACAGAATTAGTTTTTGCTGGCCACCATGCAGACCCAGTACCGAACTAGTTAATATGCTCTTAAGAGACACTGTCAAAGTTGTGGAGCTGTCAAAGTAACACCATTCTCTGAGTGCCCTCTTGCCTCATTAGGAAGATGAACTTTTGGCATGGCAAGGTGTGGCCTGTAATCCCAGCTACTAGGGAAGCTGAGGCTGGAGAATCACGAGTTCAAACCCAGCCTCGGCATCTTAACAAGGCCCTAAGCAACTCAGACCCTGTCTCTAATAAAATATTAAAAAGGGCTGGGAATGTGGCTTGGTGGTTAAGGACACCTGGGTTCAATCCCTGGAACCAAAACAAAAACCCAGAACAACAACCACCAAAAAAACACATTAATTTTGTTCCCCGCAACCGCAGAATCCTAGTTCATCCTTAAATTGAATCCTGCTGTTTTAATTGTTGGCGCTTCCTAAAATCCCTTTCATAGCCAATTCTATTTCTTATTGTACTTTGATGTCACAGTAGATAATCCATGTCCGAGGTTTGTTGCTTCTCACCTCTGCCACCTTTTGCTCTCAGCCTGCTTTTTTTTTTAACTTTATTTTATGTGTTCTGAGGATCGAACCCAGTGCCTCACACTAAGCAAGTACTCTACTTACTACTCAGCCACAACCCCAGCCCTCTCAACCCTTTTTTTTTAATATTTATTTTTTAGTGATAGGTGGACACAATATCTTTATTTTATATTTATGTGGTGTTGAGGATGGAACCTAGTGCCTCACGCATGCTAGGCCAGTGCTCTACCTCTAAGGCACAACCTCAGCCCCTTCAACCCTTTCTTGAGGGTGCTGGAGATTGAACCCAGGGCCTTGTGCTGTGAGGCAAGCACTGTACCAACTGAGCTATATCCCCAGCCCTCTATTTTTGACTTTTCATTTAAAGTTCTTTTGGGGGCTGGAATGTAGCTCTGTGTCATAGTGCTTGTCTAGCAGGTACTGGGTTCGAGCACTGAGTTTGGCCCCAACACTAAATTTTAAAAAAGATTCATTTTGTTTCTCATATTATTCCCTGCTGTAGAGACATCGATGGAGTTTTTGTTAGTTTGTTTTCCTCTAATAACCTTTGCCAATCCAAGAAGAAATCCCATTACGGTTTTTTTTTTTTTTTT